GACAGACATAATTGACTATATCATTAGGGTGGGTCGACTATATCATAAGCAATCGTCCGAATCGCCAATCAAATCAGCACATATGCAAAACCCCATATAAATCTACCAAAGTCAATGGTGTATTGACAATTTGACAGACATAATTGACATCAATAAACACCCTAAATAAACACTGACTACAATTCACATGGTCAAAAAGGTTCAAATTTCACCAAAATCCCAACAACATTAACAAAAGGTTCAAAGTTTACCAAACAAACAACAACAAAATCAACAAAAGAAAATAATTTTTTTTTTTGTTTTTTTTTTAAAAAAAACTCAGAAATTTTGTTTGGGCCTGATGAGTCATTTGACTCACCATGCAAAAGGCCAGGTCCGCCAATGCATGCAGTAGATAACAAGATATATTAAATGATTTGTGGTCTGAAATTCATGCTTGTGAGTTTAGTGCAAAACAATGAAAATGATCTTAGTGATCTTGTCAAAAAACTTCAAGTGATGATGATAGATTTGGAACATAAAATACAACTAATACAAGCAACAATCTTTCTAGCAAAAGATATTAAAATACTTATTGAAGCAAGTCTACCTACTGAAGTTTTGATCAAACCTCCTAAAATTTCAAAGAACAAAGGCACGGGGGTTCATGTTCCAAATGAGGTCCATGTTCCAAATAGTGACAAGAGAATGAAGAGTAGAAAAGGTTGTTGAACAAAGTCAAAAAAAGAGATAATGTAGAACATGTTGTGAGCTTGGCTATCATGATAGTCGTAATTGCCCCAAAAAAGTCAAGTGATATTGTAAGTCAACATATTTTTTCATTTTCTTATGTTCTAATGTTCTAAATTTTCAATTTTAAGTCAAAATTATTATATAATAATACGTTTAAAGCTTACCCTATATGTTCTAAAGTTTACTTTAGTAACAGTGTTTTCCCTCTGATTTTTTATTGATGATTTTGTTAAATAAAAAAATAAATATTTGTAATTTCCATATATTGTAGGGATCAAGGTTTTGCCGGGAAAACCCGTTCTTGTGAGTTTGCTGAATAAGTCGTTCAATAGTCTTCACATTTCCCAGGTTTTCTTTTCTTACTTTCTTTCTAGATTGCACCATACTATGTATATTAATACTGTATTTCTTTTTACTATTTTAATATGACTTTTACTGGTTTTTATTTTTTTTTAAAATAACCCTTTATGGAGATAAAAAAAATTGTCAATTATTTTGTCCAACCTAACATAAAACCATGTTTTAAATCTCTAACAGTCGTGGACCTCTTTCGCGGGCAAAGTAGACATAGTCTTTCTGCCACTACATTGATATAGAGAATATAATTAGACCATTGATACATTTGAATACTCAATCTATGATTAAAAAAGACTTTTGCATTTAAAACAGATTGATAAAAGGAATCAGTACTTGATATTATATTTAAAAGAAAAAAAAAAAAGAATCTGTAATAAAATACTTAACATGTTTTGTTATGTTCTTATGATAAACATACTAGTAAAAAAGAAGTTGATGAAACTTGATTGTTGAGTAGGGCAGTTTCTTTGGGGCAATGGGATTAATTATGGTTTTTGTTGATTCTTATTTTTCTTTTCATTATTTTTTTTATCTTATTCATTTTAAGTTTTATCATAGTCCAGCAAATAAATGGTTAAAGTTACAGAGTACTAATTAAAATTAAAGGGTTAGGTTTGGAATAATTATGGTAGCTACAATTTTATGTTAGTCGTTGAAAAGTCATCCTATATTTTTTTATGAAACGAGTTGTAGCTTATAAATCCTTTAGGGAAATAATTCAGTATATTTTTTAAATCTTAAATCTATGACAATTTTCAGAAAAATTTTAACATTTTTTTCCTTTTTTTTTTTTTTAATTGTCTGAAGAAGACAGTAAGTAAGCTTATACATGAAGCTCTTAACTTCTTGTAATCTATTAATTTTGGTTGAAACTTATAAGCAGATATATGCTATCAATTAATTTTAGTTGAAACTTATAGGCAGTTATATGTAATTTTGAGGTTTTTCAACTTTTAGTATTATGTAGAAAGAAAAACAATTACATACATTTAAAAATTTGTAAATTTTAAGAGTCAACATGTCGAATTGAATGGTGGCCTGGGTTTTGTTTAGCTATAAAGATGTGAGTAAACATAAATAATCGTTGTAACTTTGTTACTTCATTTGTGAAAGATAATTGACTTAATTATATTTGCCCTCCTTTGAAGTTGAAGGCTTTTATTTTCTTTCTATTTTCTAATGGGATGAAAGTAAAAAAAGGACATTATAATTCAAGTCTAAAATCTGTTGTTTGTTAAATAATTTGTAGGCTACTTTACAGCATGAACAACAAAATGCGAAGCTTGGTCTCCGTAAATTGTGATGGTGAAAATGACATTCTTATTTGCTCCCTCAGAGTAAAGTACTTGGCTATGACAACCTTAAAATTGGTTTCTGCGGACCTTGTAACATGGTCCTCTCCCTTAGAGCGGACCCGTGCTAATACACGGGATATGTCATTCGCGAAAGAAAACAACATGGCTAGTGATTATTGGAATCCCTTGAAAAAAATATTAGGAAATTAGTAGAATAGGTAGATTTTGGTTTATTTGAATGACTCGCTTATAAAGTTGTAACCTTTCAAAACCTTTTTCACCGCCTAGTGTCATAATTACTATGAAGTGTTATAACGGCTAGTTTGTTGAATATAAATATGCACATGAAACCTTTCCCCTGACTTGTCACCCTCTCACTTCTCAAATTTCAAACTCCAAACAATCATGCCTTCTTATTCTAAAACATCATCCTCATCATATGAAAGTTCGTACATTAGAGTCTCAAATAAATCATGTTCTTGTGGAAGGAAAAACGCAATTTGTTCTTATGCCTTTTTGTTTTTTGTTGTTTCAAAGCTCCTAATTGTGTATTTCCTTCCACAAAAACATGATTTATTTGGGACTCTAATGTACAAGCTGAGCTTTCATATGATGAGGATGATGTTTTAGAACAAGAAGACATGATTATTTGGAGTTTGAAGTTTGAGAAGTGAGAGGGTAGCAAGTCAAGGGAGAGGTTACATATAGGGGTGAGCACTACCGGGTACCCGGTGTAAAACTAAAGACCCGGTCCCGGAACCGGTTAGTACCGGGTCCAAGATTTTGGAACCGGATCCGGAACCGGTTAGTACCGGGTCCTTAATTTTCAGACTCGGAACTGGTAGGAACCGAGTCCAGAACCGGGTACCCGGTTGGCTTATACAAAGTAAAAAAAAAATCAACGTTGTCCCTCAAACAAAACAAAAAAAAACAAAATCAAACCTAAACATATTAATGCTCAAAATCCCAGAATACTCCACTAATTTTCAATATACACTCAACTAATAACAAAGTTGAACCAAAATTAGCCAATTCAAGACAATAGCGAACCATATATACACATTAAATTTCATACCCGGAATCATAATTGTAGAATTACAATGTCATACCCACCAAATAGATTTTTAATAATCTACATAACTACATAATTTGGAATTAATAAACCCTAAAATTTTTACATGCAAAATTTTGAATTGATAAACCCTTAAATTTCGAATTAATAATTAATTATAGAATATTATGCATTCTTCATACTCGACCTCCATTTCAACAACGAACCTTTCATTATCAATGACCGAATCAATTTGTTGGGTCTAAATCGTTTGATGGTGCGCTAGTGCTCGAGAAATTGAATGAAGCAGCATGTTCAGTCGCCGGTGTCGACTGTAGGTGGTCTCTGGTAGTCGCTCCTCCAGCAAATCGTGATAGGCTTCTGCAATTTTAGGGTTCTAAGATTGATATAAAGCAGCGATTTCTAACAGAAAGAAGGTGGAAGAAGAAAGTGAAAGAGGGAAGAAGATGAAGGGAAGGGGAAGAGGGGAGAAGTGGATCTAATGAAGAGGGGAAAACCGGAAAAGCAGAGAGAAAGTAGAGAGGATAAAGGAAGAAAGGGGCGGTTGTAGGCTGTTTTTATTTTAGGGTTAGCAATTTAGCATGTTGTATAAGTGTATATCAGTATATATATGGGCTATTTTTTTAAAAAAATTTATAACTGAATCGGTACTCAGTGGGTACCGGGTCCAAATTTTTAGGATCCAGTCTCGGAACAGGTTATAACCGGATCCGACATTTTGGACCCGGTCCCGGAACCGGTGAGACCAGTTCCGGGTTCGGACCCGGCGGGTCCTAACCGGTACCGGGTACCCTGGGTCTTTGCTCACCCCTAGTTACATGTGCATATTTATATTCAATAACAAGCCGTTATAACACTTCATAATTCCAACGGCTATTTTTTTTGTTTGAATTTTTGGGTATTTGGTGAAATAATTTAATAAAGTTAGGGTACAGGGTAAAATGGTAAAATTAGCTTAACGAAAGGTTGACGTCTGTTAACTAAAAGGGCATTTCATGACAATGTACAGAAACTGGAGGGTATATGGTGTATTTCAAAAGTTTCATGGGTGTATCATGAATAACCAAATTACTTAGGGGTATTTGGTGAAATAACTGTTTATTTTATAACACACCGCCTTTTGTTTTCAAAATTTAATATGAAAACTTAAGCATCAACAATATTGTTCAACATGTGATTATTTTCTGTGAGACTATCCAAATCATCTCTCCTAATCATCGTCACCATGTTGTCAACATAGAAAAACTCCCTAAAATGAGAAGAAAAAAAAAAACAAAACATAAGTGTATAAATAATTTAGAACATAAACATATAGTTCTTGTACTTTAGAATATAAGCTTGTAGCATTTAAAACATGCATTTTATAAAATAAACATGGAGTTTAAAACACAAGCATATAGTTGATAATTGAGCTTATAAAGTATAACATAAATAATAGCTTTGAACACACTATGCCAAAAATTACATTTTACAACAGTTTTTTTTATAGCGATTTTCTTCTTTCGCTATAAATTAAGTCATTAATAACATATAATAGCGGTTTTTATTTAAACGCTATTAAAAGCTTACTTATATAGTGGTTTTTAGACAACCGTTGACAAAAGTAATCAGATTAGAAATAAGAACCGCCTAATTCCTATTCACTTTCCTCTTCCCACGCATTACAAACCCCAATTCCCTTCTCTATTCTCTGCAAATTAAGGACTATTCAAAGAGACACTCATACCCCTAATTTTCAGAACCTAAAACCGCTGATTTCTGCCGGTAATTTGCAACTCGCTGTTGAGAAAGATGAATCTTTTGGTTGTTCTAGTTGTATTTAAGTTCATGGTGACGACATTCATGAGTCTTCAATTTTAAGGTTTGTTTCTCACCAAAAACGCTTATTTTTGCTTTTGATTCATGAGTTTTATAGATTAATTAGTGCTAAATTATAGTTGGCGTTGTTTTAATTGTTTTTTTTTTTTTGTTTTGGAATTTTGGTTAGATTTATACTCTTGATTTGTATTAGGGTTGTTTTTTTTTTTTTCTTAAATTATCAATGGTTTTCGTAGTTACTAATTAGGTTTTTGTATAATTTTTGTTTTTGGGTCAATTCTTATAGTCATAATTTTTCAATTTTGTATTTATTTAAATTATGAGGCAAATCTTGATATATACTTTAACATGTAGATGGAGCGAGCAATGTCTACTACATTTAGAAATCTGCAAATTGACTTTTATGAGGTAAATCATGTTTTTTATTTAGTATACAGCTCGCATATAATAATGAATTGATGTCCTCTTTGTGTTAGTTGACTTTAGATGGCCTATGTAGATAATTACGATAAGTATTTTAGTGACTATGAAGTGAAAAGAAGAGTGTATTACGAAGATGGTATAAAGGATGATGGTAGAACTGGGGTGTCTGATATTTTCATGAATTCTTTCTTAGAGAGCCGCAGTTAATCTCATAGATTAACATTCCAGTTTATCTCCTCTCACAACTTTATGCATTGATTTCTGTGCCACTTTATTATTTTACTTTTATCATTTAAAAAAATAAAAGAAAATGATTAAGTTGTGAGAGGAGATATATTCACAGATTTATCTTAGAGAGAAACTTGAATTTACCCATTCTTTATCTTGACTTGAATATGATAGTAAATAATGGGTCCTTTTCTTATGGATGATACTACAATCTGAGGGGCTGGCAATAAGTACCTCAAATTCTTCTTGTCTAACTAATGTCAAGGAGTGTTGTATTGTTGAAAGTGACGATGATCAAAATGGGGATTCTACTTGTATTGTTATCTGAGATTTGCTGCTGGTGAGAGCTGTGTTGCTGCTAGAACATGTAGATACTTTCTTTTAGTATTTGTTGATTTATAGACTAATTTCTAATATGAATTTATTATAAACATCCAGACATCTATAGTTTATATATTGTATAGATTAAGACATATGTTGAGACTCAAGGAGAATACTTCATTGATACAAGAAGTTATTAGTGCAGTGTGCTGAAGTATAGACGACGTTGTGATATTCGTCAAGTGGCTGGATGATGAGTTGTGCTTCCTTGTGAGTAAATATTGCTTATAGAAGCACTTCATATCCTTAATTAATGCCTTATGAATTAAGCAGTCAATTGTATATATATTTTTATTATTAAATGGGTTCTTTATTTGTATCATGTCAGAGAAGTAATATCTCTAGAAATATTAGTTTCATATGAATAATCTATATGCTAGTTGGTTTTATCTTATGAATTTGTTGATATTTGATTCAAGGTTTGTCTGCGTGCTTCGATGTTGCTTTTGGTCTTATTGGTGCATTCTTATAGTGACAATGAGCAAGGGTAGTTGCTCATGGATAACATGAATTCTTAAGATTTTGGTCCATAACAAAGAAAGAAGCCACTACGCAAGTGAGATTTACAAATATTCTGACACTTGATGTAAACCAACTCCACATATTTTTTTAGTGTGTATTTGGATTTTATGTCTTGTGAATGTGTATTTGGTTGATACAATTGGAAATTGCACGATGCGATTGGGCCTTTTAAAGGTTGTTAGACTTCAGGTGTTTGATTTTTCTCATTTGTAGCAACATGTGTGATGCTATTTGGAGTGTGTGCTTTTGTTTGTGCTATTCGGCGAGTGAAAAGAACACCAAATTGTGAGAATTGGCCATGCTAACATACTTTTTTTTACTCATCTCTTGTCTCTTTCAGGTTGATGAGTTGGTTGAGTCTAACTTTAGAAGATCCAAGGTAATAATCTTTATTTATTATTCAACTTCTTTATAAATTTTCATTTGCAGACTTTGAAATTATAAGTTTGTTAGAAAAATTTTGAATGTACTCTTTTTTTTTTCCCTTCATGTCTAAGAATCTTACTACGCAAGGGTATTTGCATTATATTTGACTCCCTATTCTTTGTGGGCATTATAACATCTTATGTTTTTTCAAAGGTTAGTGAATTTGGATATGATTTTAATATCTAGGTGGAAAGAGTAGATTTTTGGTGAGTATAGTGGACAGATTATTTATGAATTTGGATATGGATTTAAATAGTTAAAAGATTGTGTGGGTTATAATGCTATAGTGGACATATTATTTATGGTGTTTGGGATATATATGAGAAGATGTTGTCGAGTGATTCAGGTTGTAGTTTCAAATGCTATTCTACTTACCTATCTACTAATTTTGATTTGTGATTAAACCTTTTTTTATTTATCAGATATTGGTGTGCTTACACCCTTTCATCCTCACTTGTTTTTGTCTGAAGAGAGCATCATGGTTTTGAGTTTGTTCCCTGGGCAACTACAGTTAGGTTGAAGCAAAGTCGCCAGTGGGTGTGCCTTGTAGTCCAACAAATGTATCTATAATGAAGGAACTACAAATATACTTACATAATGTAGTTATAAATTATTTTTTTTTCTTAGAGAACACTTTATACTTGTATATATTTCATTATTTGTTCTATTATGGTGACATTGTGAAACTAATTTTGTAAGAGTTTGGAGATTAATGAAAAAATTCAATTTTCAGCAAACAATTTATAATTTAATTTACTGTATTTAATGAAATATGTTGGTTTAGGCCATAATAGAATTATAATTTTTTTTTAATAAAATTAAATTAAATCACAATAAGAAAAAAAAAATTGGCGGCAAATAACATTTATAGCACATCTTTAACAGCGGTTTTAATATGCTATAATTTAATAATTTGAACTGCATTAAAAGTACATTTTTTAGCGGTTTTATGACCCGCTGTTAAAAGTGTCATAATCATTTTACAGCGGAGCCATTAATAGCGATCTAAAAACCGCTATAAAAAGCATTTTGAACCGCTATAAAAGGCATATTTTGTTAAAGTGACATATAGTTTAAAACATAATTACCTAATTTAGGACGTATACATATAGTTTAAAACATGTACTTTAGAATATAAGCTTGTAGCTTAGAGCATGCACTTTAGAACATAACTATATAATTTAGAACATAAGGATCTAGTGTAGAACTTAGAACACATATTTTAGAACATAACTTTTAGCTCAGAACGAACATAATAATAGAATGTAGAACATAAGCATATTTCATGTTTAGAACATATGTATAAACTTTAGAGCATAAGCACATACTTTAAAGTGAAAGTGTAGACACCTAAAAATGTCTCTCCAAATTCAAACATGATATGATGATGAACAACCTTTCATCGCCATTATTGGTCAAGTTACGTATTGTTGAATCTGCGGAGTGCTTAAAACCATATTCTTAACCCTACACATTTTCATAAACGACCCATATTTAGACCAAACATTTATTCAGATCAAATCCTTGTCTAAACCTTATTTCTAGCCCGAACCCTTTTTAACCCATTTCCTTAATTATTCCCAAGTGATAAAATCACAAAACCCTAAACCTAAAATTAGTCTGGAATGACAAAAACGACGTCTAGTTATCATATATTTTGTGAAAATCAGATAATATTTTAATTAAATGACATTTTACAAAACTGGAGAAGTAACGTGTCATGGCACGTGTACCGTGACACACGTACAGTGTACCGCGCCATGGTACTTACCGTGACACGGTGCATTTAATTCCTGGGTTTCATCTTTTAACGCGTTTTCTTCTTTCAAAAAAGATAAAATTTGGTATCGTTGACGGTATAAGTATTGCGCCACGGTACATGCACCGTGACACGATATACATGTGATACATTTGTTTTCCAGCGGCGCCTCATTTCTAGGGTTCCGGACTTCATTCTTCATTTTTGCTATAAATATGGGGCTCATTTGTGAGTTTCGAGCACCAACATACATACTTTTCTCTCCTCATTCCTCTCCCTCATACTTAAGAATTAAACATTGTCCTCGTAATTTCATCATTCTTCCTCTACGCACTCCAAGGAATCCCTACATTACCTGAAATTCTATACTAAACCAAGGCGTTAAAGGTAGAATTGATTGAGGGTTTGGGCCTAATCAATTTCATTTCCTTTGTTGTTGTAATATAATTTTGTTTTATATTATTATTTGTCTTAAAGTTACTGACGTGTTTATTGTTTGGGAAATTCTCTTTGGTAACAGCGTAACACTACATTTTTTAATTTTCTCAGTGGTAAATTGTAAAAATTATTGTTATTCTAGGTAAAGTTTAATTAGCTATAATTATTCAATGGTAACCTTAATGAAACAATTTAGTAAATGCTTAACCATGGTTAATGTTTTTTTGTAAATAAAAAACTGAAATTCCTAAAATGCCCTTACTTAATGCCTAAATAATTGGGAAATTCTACCTGATGGCCCTCAAGATCCACACTTTCTATTTTCTTTTTTACTAAATGGTTACCCATTTATGGTTTTGGGCTCATTTTGTTAACCCCTTAAATAATCTAACCCAAACCCTTATTGACTCACTACCACCGGTCCACCACCCAACTGCCACCGCCACCTCAACTACTCTTTCTCTCTCCTCCGTCCGCAGCCACCAATCACATTCCCTGCCACTCCCCTTCAAACTTCCAGCCACTTAGCTCGCCGCACCTCCCATTCCCCTGCCACTCCCCAAAATCAACTCAAACCTACCCCATAACCAGTGGCGGTTCTGGGCCGGAGCGAGGTGGTCGACGGAACAGGGCCCCCAAATTTGAGGGGCCCCAAAATCTAGATATATGTGATTAAGTTTGGTATAATATCATGAAATTGCAGTTGGAGTAGTGGTTAGAGCAAGTATGCTGATCAGGTTCAAGCCTTTGGGCATACAACTTTTTAATTTTTTGGGAAATGAAGTGGACAGCTGGCATATGTAAGATTGCATACAAATACATTGAATGAATTCCTCTAGAAACCTCCGCCCAAACCCTTAATCAGATCTTTCCTCTTTCCAAATATTTTTCCTCCCAAATTTTTTTCAATCTATCATTCTAATTCCAAGAAAAAAACTTTATATCTTCCAAAATTAATTTCACATCTAACTGTTAAAATTATTGTTTTCCACATTTTTTTATTTACTTTCTATTATTATCTTCATTTTCTTCAATTATTCAAATCTTTTCATCTCCCAAAATTAATTTTCGAATTTTCTGATGTAATGAAATTTTTTATCAAATAAAAATTGGGTATTAAATTTATCGAGTAGAAGGCCCCATTTTAAAAAGTTGAATAGGACCCATAAATAATTTGCAATTTTAGCCCCGACATTGCCCATAACCCAACACCGGCGACGATAAGGGTTTCGAGGGTAGGGTGGTTGGGGTTTCTTGGGGAAATTTTGAGTAGAAAAGGTTTTTGGGTAGGGTGGCCAAAAATCGGAAAGGGAAAGGAAGGTGGTGGGTTTGCCGGAAACCAAAAAAGTGCATGAAAGGGAAGCATCTGGTGGCTCGCGTGGTACAGTGGTTGCGCGATCTGGTGGGTCGCACAAAGGTGTTGTTGATGGTGGTGAATTGTGGTTAATTGGTGGGAGCGATCTGGTGGCTCGCACGGGGAGGTGGTCTCGTGGTACGGTGGTCGCGCAGGGAGGTGGTCGCACTACTTCGCTGCTGATGGTAGTGCATTGTGGCTGATTGGGCTTCTGGGTTGCTGCCGGAAATGAATGTTGGGCAGGGAGAGAGGAAGTGGCCGTTTAGCTGGAAAAGGAAGGGCAGGAGGGAGGGGAGGTGGCCTGAAGTTATGGAGGGGAAAAGGGAAGAAGAAGAAGGAAGGGGAAAAATGAAAACAAAAAAAAAAAAAAAAAAAAAAAAAAGTTTTTTTTAAAAAACATTAAGGGTAGGTTAGTAAATTTGCTATATTGAGTTAAAAAGTTAGCCATAATTCGTTGGTTAAGCCCAATTTAATGAAATAAGGTCACTACATAAAGCTTTGCAAATCTTTAGTGCCACTAGAAACTATGGTTTTTTTTCCACCAAATAGAAAGTGTGGATCTCGAGGGTCACTATGTAGAATTTCCCTAAATAATTTTATTTTTTTTAATTTTTGAACCATATAATAATTTAAAGTAAATAATTTTTTTTAAAAAAATAAAAATAAAACCCCACCTCCTCTCTCCACCAGCCCAACTCCTCACCCTCCATTTTCGGTGCCCCCTTTTCATTTCTTTGTTCTTTGTTTTTCCTCCATTATTGAATCTCATGGTGTAATACTACTTTCTCTCTCCTCATACTCTAATTTTTCCATCATTTTTGTTTTTTTACTTTCTTTCTCATTTAATTTTTATTCATTTGTATAATTTGTGAATTAATCTACAATCAATTTTTGATTTAATTTAATTTTAAGGGGGGGTTTTGTGTTTGGTTTGTGAATTGGTAAAGAAGGCTTTAACTGGGAATCCAAATCAACATCAACAACAGCAGGAAAAACCACAAGGCAGCAGCAATGGTGTAGGCGGCAGCAACAAAAACAACTCCATCTGCTTCGTACCCTCCTCCGACTTTGTACTCTGCAACACCATTGAAGCGAACGCAAATTCAAACACCGAAAGCAAAATTACACCATAAATCAACAAATTTCCTTTCAATTAAAATGATTTCCGATGCAAACAAAACCAGTGACCAGCGCTTGAAAATTGATGATCAGAGACTTTAAATCAATGAATTATTGGAATATATTTGGGTAAGAAATGGCTTATTGGAGTAGTGATACAAAATGAATGATTTGGAAACAAAATGAATTATTTGACATTAAACTAAATTATTTGACAAGGAAATGAATAGAATTTTATTGCTGAGTAAGAAAATGAATGGAAAATTGAAATGAAATGAGTTCGAATAACCTACGCCGCTCAATAGGTTTGTTGACTCACTGTGGACATGCCACTTATTACTTTACTGAAACTGAAATAATTAAAATGCGGAAATGAAACTAATAATCCTAAGAGAAATGAAACTACAAAGATCTAGTCCTTTCGAACATTGTCCTTCGATTGTTTGTAGCTTCCAGGATCGAATTCAGGATCATCTTCTTCCTCCATTGGTTCAGGTGTCTCTGGATTTTGCTCTACTTGAATGAACTCTTCATCTTAATATCAATTATAATTGGAGTTGGGGGTGGATTTGGATTTGGAATCTCCATAATAGAACTATCAACAGTATGGTTACTCTCATCCATTAGCTCTCCTTCCTCCTGCCCTCCATATGATCCTACTTGATTACCCTGTGTGGGAGAAGAATTTCCTGATTGATGACTAGTGGAAGGGGAGTCATTCCCTGCTTGATTATCATAGTAGTAATTCGGATATGGAATGTGTAAGCGCTCGCAATGATATTTCTCAACTCTAACGAGAAAAGAAATCAAGTATCTATTATCAGGATACTACTGTCCATAGTAATCTTTGTATTTGGAGTAATTTGGGATGTCCACGGGTAAGTAAAAATCAGATAACTTTTCTTTGACAGCAAGATATGGGGGTTCATCTGGAAAACAGTGAATGATCATAACTGAAACACGATCAGGAAGGTCATAAAGCTTGTCTCCTTGGACATCGCTCATATGAGAACAGTAGAATCGAATTTTCTTGACATAGTCAAAAAGATGTTCATTTTCTTTCT